TGTGCTAGTTCTCTGAGAACCAAAGCGTGATGAGAAAGAGCGAGCAGTTCCACTGTTTCTACTCGCGTTCAAGAACGCAACTCAGCCTGAAGTACGAGACGCAGAGAGCTCGTCGCTGGTTCAAGCGACGAGCAAATTACATTTTCTACGGGAGAATAATTCTGGTGCCAGCGGGTACTTGATTTTGTGACAAAGAAACTGGATCTCTGTATGAAAATTTATGTTTTCAGGACGATGAAAATGAGTTACCGCGCCGTGTATTGTACGTGGTCACCAACGTTTCGGGAGGGGGGTATATCGCTTCCATCTTCAGGATGGAGGCAGTACGTTCCTCTACCCGCAAGTGTACAATGTCATGACTAGCCCCTGTTCATTTTAAGGGTTGTAGTTTCCGCAGATTCTCCCAGAACTGGCCACGGCTCGCTGAACACGTGACGCTTCATCGCGCTCACGAGCAGCTAGATAAAGGTCCAGGTTTCGATCCCGGATTCGTCTCCTCGTTTTGTGTCGTCCTTCCAGGACAGTGCGCGGCTGAATATATTAGCTACTCTTCGTGTTGTGGAGGTCCCGGATTCATATCTCAGGCCGGACACCGGTTAACATGTCGGAGACTTGGCGCTGTTTTACTCGGTCCCTCCAAGCAAATTTCGGAATGGCAGAATGGCAAACACCATGTACGGAGGGCGGAGTCAGATTCTGTCCAGAAATGAAAGGTCGATGAGAACTGTATGAAAAGGGCGTGGGAGGTACGAGAATCCATCCAAAGATTTGGTCGTATCTGACGTCTAGACAAAGACATACGATTCGGTTTCGTAAGATCGTAAATTGAAAGTGTTTGGACTGCTCCCAGTGCCAGTCGTAAAGAAAGCTCAGCAGGCAGGATTCGATCCAGAGGCACCCGCTCGGCTCGTGCGTTGTGTAAGAGCGCGTCCAGCGGAATGTGAAAGGCGCTGCACGGCCTCCGCGTTGGCTGTCAGTTTCGCTTTGGCCGGGCGACAGACGAGAGCGCGCGGATCATGGCCATTGTTCCGTCCGCAGTGCGCGTGGGAATTCAAAATGATGTGTCGCGTTTGATATCGCACTCCGCAGTTTCTTTGTGGTTACGGCATCAGTAGCGTGTGTCGATTATAAGAAGTGCAGGTTATATTCGTGTCCAAGGTCACAAGGTGAAGGTTCAAGAGACTCAGCTTCCGTTCCATTTTTGCAGAAGAACGTATCGTAATAGAATGCCGAATATAGACTGAAGGCTGTGCGCAGTTTTGTGAAGCAATCTCATAATCGCAAGTGCAGATGAGCGGTGAATCAGACCCCAGTCCGTCCAGCATGGCTTCTCCTCAGGACATTCTCGTTGTCAAGTCGCCAGGCGACTCTTTCTCGTCAACTCTACAGACGCGTTCTTCGACTCTGAGCGGCAGTTTCAGGGGCGAGGCGTCTTCCGAGGAAAACGCGTTTCTCTTCCTGGGGGTTGCGCAGATGCTGCTAGGGGTGCTGATGGCGGTGTTCGGCGTCTTGGCCATTGTGCACGAGTCGTCGCTGTCCGGTGTGGGGGCGGGGTTGTGGGGGGGCGCTGTGGCCATGGCGACGGGTGTCGTGGGAGTGCTGGCCGGACTCCGGAGCTGTTATTCGGTGACGGAGTCGTCTCCGTCCCGACTCGCCGTCACGGCGTTCCTGGCGCTTTGTCTGATATCGCTTGCGGTTAGCAACCTCGTGGTCGTGCTGTCGGTTATCGGGCTCGTGAGAGACGGACAGAGCGCAGACGTGCGCGCCATACAGAAAGAGAACGTAAGTAGCTCCATGATGTGTGTTCGGTGGAGATCTTATTTAAGATACATTTTAATATTATACACCGACTTTCGCTTATCACCTCCAAAGTGGTCTCTTCTATTGAGATTTTATGGGGAAAATTTTGTGAACGTTACTACGTTCTCCAATTTATGACACATTCCACGCTCATACTTTTGATGCATTCACTGTAGTAATGTTTGGTGTGAAGCTCCATGCTATATATTTTTTCTGTCCCAAGCCCCTCTTGGACACTTCAGTAAATTGTTTGCGTCTTAAAATGAACGATTGTTAGCTCCATGCAATATTTCAAAGCTGGAGGACAACCCCTTGTCAGCTGTCAACAGTTACAAAATTAATTAAGAATTAGGGAAAAAAATATGTCACTATATACTTGAAGACAGCAACAATGATCCAAAAGCCGTGGATATGATATCTGTGGATTATTACG